ATTTGACTAGCAACAGACGACTGTTTAACTGTGACAATAGCCGGATCGAAACGCACCAATCACTGATTACGAGTCTTCATAGCCAATAACATCACGGCTTAACTGACAGACGACCAATAACATCGCGACATTATTGACCAATCAGATCAATAACCAGACTATAATACCATCAACTGACGTGATACAACTCACTTTGACTCTGAAGATGACTACCGCACAGGTTGTCGAAACGTCAGTCACTGTCAACAACAACAGTCCTATTCAGGACTACGCTCACCCGGACGATCAAACTCAACCTTTTGAAATGACTCCTGGGTTCAAACCTTTCACAGACTCACATCATTGCCACATAAGTTGTTGGTTACATCAATTATCTTGGACAAATAAAAATATAAAAAATCCAAACAGCGCTCAGCAATTGCTCCATCAGAGTTTGCTTAAGGATTCCTTAAGTGAGTTTGGTAAAGTGAAGAAGCGAAGCAGGCTTAGGAACACACTGTCATACTTCGCTTTTAAAATTCATCATTGCCCATCGGCCGTATTCACACTAGAGACGGATTATCCGTCTTAGACGGGTTATAATTCGCATCAGACAGATAATACATCTTAATATAAAAATGGAAAGGTCTTAATTTTGGATGGACAACCCGCTTGACTTTATTCATTTGTTTTTCCTTGAATTTTGACGGATTTTGAAGATGGACTATCCGTCTCCAGTGTGAAAACGGCGATTGGTAACGCAGGGGGCGTACTCCTCGGAATTCTTGTTGCGGGTGTGCTTCCCGATTCTCCAAATCCTGATCCTGTTTCATATGCCACTCCCGTTTTCAGAAATGGCTTGTTGAAGTTGTACTCTGTTTGCAAAACCATACCAAGTTTACTTGAAGTCAGCATATTGCTTAACATTATTTTCTTTAATAACTATTTTTGTCTCAGGCATAAAATTCTAGACTAAATCTAGCTGTATATTGTGCCGTCATGAATACTGCATGTTTATCTACCAGTCGATCCCTGTATAGAGGTCATATGACGAATAATAGAACAAAACAATGGTGACAACTGGAACGCGAAACGAATGGAAATACATGGATTCAACGTATACTACAAGAGTAAACAAACAATTTACAAATATTATACGCTGTTTGTAGTAAATGACAAAAAGTCATGTCATCGAATATGCAGGGAAGGAGGAATGGCGTGGCCTTTCTACATACGTTTTTTTCTTTGCTAAAACAATTTGGCGAGCGTGCCCTTATTTGGGCAACCCAACTCCGTTGTGCTTAGAGGTCAATACATCCACCGCGTTTTTGTTTTCATAGGTGCGTTTGACGATCTCTACGGAGAAAATAGAAGGTTTGCTGTCAACAGGCTGGAAACGGCCTTGCGTGGTTTGGTTTAATCTTTTTCTTTTTCTAGTGGTCTCTAAGCAAGGCTTTTTTTATGATAGTCTCTGGTCTCAGACATTTTTAGTATTTTCTTAAGTTGTACGCGGCGCTCTCCAGCTCAAATACGTTTTAAAAAAACAGGAAGAAAGAAGCCCTTTGAAGCCATGGCACTTCAAAATGATATGTCTTGTATTCTTTATGGTGCTCTCTGAGGCTGGAGCTTTGAAAATTATAACCCTAGTTTTTTTCCTTTGAAAAAGTGCATGTGAATCTTCGAAATATTAAAAGGGCCAGCTTGTTTACATGGAAGTGTGGGACCACGAGTGGGTGAGAAACCCCGCCTAGTCCAATTCAGCAGCTTCTTGATTGTCTTCAAACTTAAGGCGGGCGACAGTGCCCGGAAGTCAAAGTTCCTCGCCATCTTGGTCAGCCATCGCGCCTCGGCGCTGACTTCGTTTTAACCATTTTGACGTCACCGGTAAAACGGAAGTTTTATCTTTATGTATGCCGAAATTTTGAGTCTTTTTTCAAGATAATTGTTTTATTAACCGGGCTGCAGGGCAAGCAAAGTTATAAATTCGGTTCCGTTCGGTCGTCTATGCAATATGCGGGCGCTTTTACAACAGGCACGAGTAATAGTTGCCCCAGTTTAACCCAGAAAGCGTTGTGTGTTTCGACAAAGCATTGTTTTTCCATTTCAGCGCAGTATTGGAAATTGCCTGTTTAGTCGAGCTTTCTTTAGCAGACCGTCCGGGCCATAACCATTTCTGGATACTCGATGACGTCATCGAGAATGGCATCTAGTGCCGACCTCGAGGAAACCTATTTACTACTCTTATTTTAGCCTTACGGGATTTAGTCCTCAGTCGTATTCCGTGAAACCTTGTGAAGTTTAAGGCAAAGAATGACTGAATACAACAAGTGAAGAATAGGTAATAGTTTCGGTTGTGAATGGAGAGGGAAATTCTGTGGAAAAGTCGAGCAAACAGTCTTTCTGCGAGGACCCCGATTACGGAGTTGCCTCTATTTATTTGATGTTTTCAGGAATGTAGCATTTTTTTGTTTCCTACAAAAAATATTTTCAAAATCTAGAATAAATTTGCTCCCGATTTGTTCAAATTTCTGTCAAGTACCCAAGACGAAAGTTTGAGTGCTCGGAAGTTGAAATTCTGGTTACGGAACAAAGTAGGCATTGATTTTCTTTGTTCAGAGCTGTCGGAGAGTCCAAGCTTTAAAACTATTTGTGTCGCAAATCGTTGAAAATGTTCGCTGTTTATTGAATTTAAAATACAGATAAGATGGCCTGGTATTCCGTAGCTTTCAAAACTCGGCATTTAAAATACGTAAGCCATGTACGCTATTTCCCCTCGTGTTACTTTTGCGCTTGCCGCGTGCGATCTAACTCGCTCCTCACCTCTGAACGCCTGGAAAAGGCTGGCTAATTTCGTTTCACTTTGTCGTTTTTCGCGGAAAAAATGTGATCCGTGGAAGGATGCGGAGCAGGGCAGTGGACGATTTTAAACTGAGCAAATCTTATCATTTCTGTTTGTTTCACATTTTGAGCAGGTCATTTCCTGTGCTTTTTGTTTCTGTCGGGAATTGACCCCTGATGATTTCCTACTATGCTTTGTCACACGTTGATTTCAATATGTTGGACCGAGTTAACTTGATGAAAACCAGCGGGGTCTGTAGGACTGAACGACAACTATTACCTCATAATGTAAAATGTCATTTGTTCTGATTCTTTGCTTTGTAGCGGGTAGATTATGCTATGAAACAAATCTTATTTTTATTTTTGCCTCTGATTTCACGGTGAGAGGTTATGAAGCTGACCTTTCCTACATTATTTCCTGGGGTTTCAGTTAAAAGTACAGGATCTGATCTCTGCTTTTATGGGAGTGGACGCCCACGATGTGCAAGCCTTCAAATGATGAAATTGTACTGGAAAGAATCCGCTTCACTCTTCACTTGCGGTAATGACAAGAGTTGAATGCTGAATGTTTCAAATAAATAGAGTATTTTTCTATACTGTCATTCCGCGCAGTGTTAATTACTGAATTTTGTTCCGGCCTATTGCCGCAAGTGGCTGCCACCAAAAAAAAAAATTGTTCAACTTCTACTTATTTCCGGTATCTCTCGGCCAAGTTTGTCCTGTTTTGGATTTGACCTCAACCAATCGCCAGGCACGAAACCATTATCCAGAAATGGTTATGGCCCTGACTGGCATCTAGGGCAAGACTCTAAAAATGCAGGCGTTTCTTCTTTTTTCTTCTGTCTGTGGGTACCAAATAGTAGGCCATGGTCCCAGGCGTTCCTACCAGTGACCGTGAAAACTGAGGATGAGAAGTTCTTGACCACTTTCATTGTATGCAAATGAGTCTCGTAATGAGCATGGATATTGGATATTGGTTTATTTTTTGTCATGACTGAAATGACACATTAAATTGATCATGTTCGGGTTTTGGCTGTTTGGCAATGATGTAATTTCCCCGAATCGAGGCCCTTGATTTTCGTGTAATTACGCACGCGTATTAAAAAGTAAATACCCTGAAGAATACTCGGCCGGGAAATTCTGTTTTGTGGTGTATTGAGGCGTTACGTTTCTCAGAATATTGTTGGAAATCTACGGTTAAATAGATTCTCTTTGTTGTATGTATTTAATTGATAGATTTTCGCAGTTGTGAAGATGTTAAGTCGCGTTGCACTTTATAAATACTTGAGATATCAATGATTTAAACTTCAACTACTACTGGAAGCAACTTCAACTACCCGTCTGACGTCACGTATGTGTCACATGTGTTTATACGGGTAGCTTTGTTCTTGACTGTCACGCACTCTACTTGCAGCACTTCATGTCCATAGAATAGAAATCCCTGTCGAGCATTTCCGGAAAGGGTCGGTCCACGTATTCTATCCCTTAGAAGCGTTGATTATTTTGGAACAAGTGAACACTTTAGTGGTGGAAAAAAATAGAACAATCTTAATGTATATGGTACACATTTGCATTTTCTTTGAGCTCTAATTTTTAACGGAGAAGAAGACGTGAGCCTGATTAGAAGAAGGGCATCAATTTCAGAGGAACATCCTTTAACCGCCATAGTTAATGCAGTCAGGTACGTAGTTAAGGTGGCTGAACACAATTACCTATTTCCAAAATAGGATTGGAAATGGGCGGTAGGTCCAGTCCAAGCTCGTCGCTGCTTACAGAGGATCTTCTTTGTTTGATGGCTATGGCCTTCTTGACGCGGCGCTTTATCATGTTATTTTCGTCGGATAGAGCTGTGACGTTGTGTGGGTTGATGACCGTTGCATGACAGTGCTCCCAATAATCCGCGTATGACGTTTTTCTCAGTTTATTAGTTATATTATTCATAAAAACGACTATAAACGTCTGTTCGTGTTGTACCGCTACAACGTGGGTATACTTGTGTTATTTAAATTCTAGCATAAAGTCACCCGTTTAGTAAGAACTCGTATGCATGAGACTATGTTACTAGTGTGTAATCACATGTGACCGTGTGCATACTAATGATGTGTATAATAGTAGTATACGTAGTAATCATGTGGAGAATTTGTTCTCGATCATTAGCAAGAAAAATGAACAAACTTTGAAACTTACAGGTTCATAAGCTCAGGGAGATTTGAGAACACCCCAGGGAAAAGCTGTGCAATTTTGTTGTTGGAGAGGGATCTGCAAAAATAAGTTATTAACTTCATAACAACAATAACTCATATGCTGTAAATTTGTATTCTCTTTGAGATCTAATTTCTAATTTCGGAGAAGAAGACATGAGCAAAGGCTATCGATTTCAGAGGAACATCCTTTACGCAGCATAGCAAATGCAGTCAGGTACGTAGTTGAGGTGGCTGAACACAGTTACGTGTTCCCAAAATAGGACTGGAAATGACCGGAAGGTCTATTCCAGGCTCGTCGCTACTTACAGAAAGCTTACTTTTTTTGATAGTAACCGGACCGTCTTGACGTGACGCTTGATGATGTTATTTTCGCCGGATAGAACTGTAACATTGCGTGGGTTGATTTTGAGACCCGTTGCACGGCAGTGCTCGCAATTCTCCCTCCCCCGCTTCTCATACGTGGTGAAAATTGTCTGCAACATTTCGAGACACACGCATCCAAGGTTGTTTGTCGAGGTGAGGGGAATAGATGGGCATATGTGCTCGTGCGCTATTCTAAAAGTATGACGTGAATCGCCCTAGAAGGGAAGCAATGGACAATATATAACAATTATTCACCGAAGTGGAGGTGGCTAGTATTGAATATTTACCGAGGCCTCGAAGCGGCGAGGTAAATACCCACTACTAGCCACCGACACTGAGGTGAATAATTGTTTTAGTATATACTAAAACAGCGAGATAATTGAGCACAAAATGATGATTTTTAATTCATTTACTGTTGCCAACGATTACAATTTTGGAAACGCGATGACCGAGCGGCCGCGGTCGTCGCTTTTTCTTAGCGACAAATAAAACTTTTAAAGGCGTTTGTTTAGCTCTTGCAGGGAAGTTTCTTCAAAAGGAGTTGTGAATGCGGTTTGTATTTAAAATAATTCTGTAAAAAAGATTATTAAGTTTAGTTTTAAGATTATTTATGAACAAGTCAACTAAATAAAGTAACGCAAGACTTAAGTTTAATTTGCATTTGTAAACAAAGAACTTTTTCACCGGTTTTATCGATAACTATTCAAGTCAAAAGACAAAGCTTTACCTGTTAAAACTTCCAAACCGAACTTCGTCACCTTCTTCATGTATTTCGGAAATAGCTTGCTCGATTAGTTGTGAAATTTCTTAGTTTGTTACGGCAGCAAACCGGGAAAGCATTTTTCTCGCAACCTACGCGAGTTTGGCGTCGCTAGCTCGGAGGAACTGGAGGTGAATCAGTGAATAGTGCAGGATATTCACTGATTGAGTAGCCAATCAGAGCGCGCGAAAAACACTATCCACTGTTTTAGTATATACTAAACCGCGTTATTATTCATTAATTTTTTTTCCGTTCTTGATTAGCTCAAATCCCCCGGCAAATACTTCAAAACGAGCTAGCCTAATTTAAGAGACGTTAAGAGACGTTAAGAGTTAAGAGACGGAATATTCAGTAAAATAACATCAATAGATCCAAAGAACAGATTATCGCCAGAAGGAATTCAGTTTACTGGGTTTCGAACTCATATTCTGTGATGGAGAGGGAGATACATCAACTTGCGCATCTCCAGAGAATACCAGACTTTCCGGCTTATCAAGAATTTCAGACCACCGGTTGAAAAGCAATCGCAAGAAAGCAAACCTGCCAGTGCAACGTCCGGCGTTTGCTTGCGCGAAGAGTTTTAGTCTCTATTCTCAAGAATCTCGGAGTGTTTTTAGATCAGTGCCTCTCTTTTGATGAACACATACGTAAAACTGTTGCTAGTTGTATGAACAAACCGATCCAGATTAATAGAATTTAGCATATTCTTGATAAGGAAAAGCTTCTGTTAATCATTAATAGCTTTGATTGAGCAGGTTGTTTTATTGCTGCTCAGTTTGGAGCAATACCTCGGCAACTAATATTCATACGTTTCAGTTTATTCAAAATTTTACAGCAAGGATTGTCTTGGGACTCCACAAATATGACCATATCTCTGCAGGTCTAAGATCACTTTGAAGGCTAGATGTCAAACAAAGATTTATGGTCGATGATGCAGTTTGATGATGCATAAATGTCTTAACGGTCTGTCACCTAGCTACTTGTGAGATCAATTTTCAATTCGAGCTATTATCCATGATAGACAGACAAGATATAGATATATTCCATCTTGCAGAATCAATGCTGGCCAACGCGCTTTTTATTACCGTGATGTAGAAATATTGCATAATTTAAGTAAAGATCTACGGGAATTCATAAATACTAAAGTTTTAAGGAGACGTCTAATTAATGAACTGATTTGTAACATGAACTGGGTTAGATGATGATTTTTGTACATAGTTACCATTTAGTTATTGTTGTACATAGTTAAATAATTAATTAATTTAATTTTTTTTGTATTGATACAGAAAAGCCCTCTTTAGGGATGCTCAATAAAGTGTATGCATGTATATATTTATGTATCATAAAAAAAGTCTCTGTTAACTTCGCAACGAAGAAAGCATTGTGCAATACAATCAGGCAGCTGATAGAGAGATAAAAGTAATTCCAAAAAAATGTTTCCCTAGTTTGCAATTGTTGCCCCTTAGACACTCAACGGATGGACCATACGAGAAAACAATAACAACTAACCAAAACCTAAATTCTGTACTTTCAGAATAATATATAGATTTAGCCAGGGCTAAAAGCGAAGCTCCCTTTAATAAATTCATAACTTAAATCAAACAATAAACTTGTAATCCACAGATCAGAGCACATTCATATGACTTTTGAGGCAAAGGCTAAGTGATTTTAGAGAAAAATAATTTGACAGTCCAAGAGTGAAACAAATTTTACATCAAGTTAATAGTCTTATTTGTAAGACTAATATATAGATTTAGCCAGGGCTAAAAGCGAGGCTCCCATTAGTAAATTTATAATTTAAATTAAACAATAAACTTGTATTCGAATTCCACAATTCAGTTAACTTTAGAGCGCATTTTATGTGACTTTTGAGGGAAAGGCTACCTGATTTTAGAGAAAAATAATTTGCAAACAGCCCAAGAGTGAACCAAATCTTACATCGAGTTGATAGCCTCATATGTACACTCAAAAACTGGTAATCATCTTTTATCACATTTAAGAGCCGTAATGGCTATTGATCACCGTAGATCAATTAGGCTTAGAAAAAAAACCAGGGCAACGTTTTGGCGTTCGACAAGTTTACTTTGCAAAATCTTGCCAACAAATCTGGGTGCGTGTAAACCAACCTTTTATACCATGGACAGAAAGCAGTATTTCACAATACAAATTGCTCTCATTCAATATTCATAAACTGTTAAAAAAATTTTCCAAAATCACCTACACGGCCATCCGGTTCTCACTTTTGTAGTGCGAGCTGTAGCGAGTGTTTGAATGAACATTAACAGAGTTACGCTCCAAGATAATAAAGAATTTATCATGTTTATTTTTTATTTGATGGTTTAACGCGCGGCATTTTGAGAACTCCTGCAAGCGATGTTCACTGAACGACTGAAAACAATCGGCATAGCGATTAAAATTGCAAGAGAGACTACTAACAATCAATAAAAGAAATATAATTCGGTGAAACATAAACAGAGACAACAATTTTCATTCAGGAAGACAAGTATCAAAGTGTCCCTAAATATCCTGAATCTTCAAGCTTCAAGCTTAAGTTTGCTGAAGTTTATGTTTTAAGCCAGCTTCCCGGTGTTTGTTTTTTCAAAGACGAACTCGAGGCAAGAAAATCGCTCAAAGCTTTCTTTTCCGGCTAGAATTATAACTAAAGATTCTTTGGAACATTTTCTTTCTATTTGCAGTGAGAAACTGTCTAAAGGTTTTTTAAAGTTCTGTAAGATTATATCAAACCAGATACTCGGTGAGATCGTTGTCTCAAATCTTACAAACGCACATAAACTAAATTCCCGCATAAACTACGCCCCACTTCATTAAAGTAGATACAAAAAACAAACATGAAATACAATAATTTCTCTGGCTTACCATTCGAGATGCAGCTCCTGAAAGTTATCAGGTAAGGCCAGTATCGCTTCAGACTTTGCAATCCTCTTACGCATCAAGCAAGGTGAAAACGAAAACGATGCCATCCGAAATCGGATTTCCGACTTTGACAAGCGACGTTTTCTCAACCAAAAACCCAATAAACAAACTAGCCATGAGTAACAGAAGACTCCTGATAGCAGCTGAATTTCATTTTGTACATCCAGTGGAAAAACACAGTTAAAAACATCACAAGTTGACACAAAACTCTGTCAGCTTCAGCTGTTAAAGTAAACAAGATTCAAGATGCTGCATAAATTTTGCGCATGAACTCACCTGTCAAATTTTGACCAATCAGAGCATAAAAATTGGACGTAGAGCGTGACCAACGCGTGACCATTGTGAGAAAAAACAAAAGCAACTGTCTTCCCTGCCTGTAACAGCTGGCTGAATTTTCACGTCCGAGGTCAGTTTGCAATCAAAATTTTAATTGTGCAGCACATAAACACAACATATTTCATATGAATTAAGAAAAAAAATTGAACTTGAGCCTGCGATCACTTGAAAACTAGTTTACTTGTCAGCGGATAACGTCAAAAAATACTTGACCTCGACGGGTCGACACCTGAGCCCGCGATACGGTCAAGTGATACTGGTCAGCGGGTACTCTGTTTTGACAGCTGTCAATTGATCAAAACATTGATGTCCAATATGTGTGCATTATCAGTTTTCCTGTGCTCCCAAACTAGTAAAAGTATGAGATTGAACGTTGTTCGCGATCTAGTAAAACAGTTAACTGGTCAGCGGACAGCTTCCAAATAAATCACGTCACCTGGATGAGTTGACACATGAGCCCGCGATATGGTCATGGGATACTGGTCAGTGGCTATCCTGTTTGGACAACTGTCAATTGACCATATTGTTAATGTCCTATATTAAAGATGTGGACTTGCCAAGACACGCCTGAGACACCCCTCCCTTCCTTTTGATAGTCTCCCCTACCCCACCCATACAATCTGTAGACGCGTACGTACGTACGTACGCTCGGTCAATCACGTGACAACCAAACGAAAAGAGGTTGACCATATTCCATGGGTATGGGGCTCTGTCCCACGCGCGCTTCGCGCGCGCGGGAGCCCCGCTATTAAGCGGAGCTCCACGCGCGCGCGTTGGCGGAGCCCCATATCTAAGCCAATCTACCGATCCCAGAAAATTTGGTAATGGCGTGACCGTGCGCCGACCGCCCGAACGACCGTCCGTCCGCACCACAGGGAAACCGATGTTTAATCTCACACTTTCTAACTAGTTTGAGAGCCCAGGTACAAACTGATTTTGCACATCCATGTTTTGATCAATTGACAGCTGTCAAAACAGAGTATCCGCTGACCAGTATCACCTGACCGTATCGCGGCCTCAGGTGTCGACCTATCGAGGTCAAGTAATTTTGAAATTATCCGCTAACATACTATACTCGTTATACCAAGTGCTCGTGTAGTGTTTTAGTCCTGGTCATTAGCAAGGAAAAAAATACAAAAATTCAAACTTACAGCAGCTTTAATTTAGGTAGTTTCCAAAATGCCTCAGGTAAAACCTGGACAATTTCGTTGTTGCCAAGATTCCTGAAAAAATAAGTTAGACATTCATGTTAACACTAGTAACAACGCACGTCTCTTTTTTGTCAGCCAATTATAATCGTGACTAGTGACAAGTTTCAGCTTTTCTTTTGCAGACTCGCCTCAATTTCTCTTACGTGTACTTTACATTCTCGAAGTTTTTACTCGAAACATTTAAAAAATGTGGATGAGGTTAACAGCTGAGGGACATGAGTATCGATTAAAGCCCAAAGAGACGCCATATTTCGTAGTAAGTCATCTTCCTGTCCGCTTAGTTATTCTTAACTTCGAAAAGGAGAAAGCAAAGTAATATACTGCGAAACTGATAGAAGGATAGACGGAATTCCTAGCGAATTTTCCCTTTTCCAATTGTTGTCCCTCTGATACAGTACTCAACGGATCATCATAAGCGAAAACGATAATTATGCAATTAATCAAATTTAATTGACTCTTGTACCCCTAGGCTAATAGCTAACCAACAGCCAAATTCTGCAAGTTTAGTGTATGACGTTTTTTTCCAGTTTATTAGTTATATTATTCATAAAAAAACTGTGGTACCGCTACAACGTGTGTATCCTTGTATTATCTCAATTCTAGCCGCGTTAAGTCATCCGTTAAGTAAGAACTCGTATGTATGAGACTATGTTACTAGTGTGTGATCACCTGTATTCGTGGGCATACAAATGATGTGTATAATAGAAGTATACGTAGTAATCCTGTGGAGAATTTGTTCTTGATCATTAACAAGAAAAATGTACAAACATTGAAACTTACAGATTCAGTAGCTCAGAGAGATTTGAGAACGTCCTAGGCAAAAGCTGTGCAATTTTTTTGTTGGACAGGGATCTGCAAAAATAAGTTATTTACTTCAAGAAAAAACTAATTTATATGCGGCAAATTTGTATTTTCTTTGAGCTCTAATTTTTAACGGAGAAGGAGACATGAGACTGATTAGAAAGAGGCCAGCAATTAAAGACGATCATCCTTTACGCGGCATATTAAATGCAGTCAGGTACGTAGTGGAGGTGGCTGAATACAGTTACGTATTTCCAAAATAGGATTGAAAATGGCCGAGAGGTCCAGTCCAAGCTCATCGCTACTAAGAAAGGCTTTTCTTTTTGGCAATGGCCTTCTTGAGGTGGTGCTTGATGACGCGTTTTCCTTCGGATAGACCTGTAACATTGTGTGGGTTGATTTTGTGACCCGTTGCACGACAGTGCTTGCAATTTTCCCTCTCCTGCTCCTTATACGAGGTGAAAATTTTTTGAAAATTTTCCAGATACACGCATCCAACGTTGATTCTCGAAGTGGGGAAATAGATGGGTATGTATGCGCGTGCTCTATTCCAAAAAGTATAAGGTGAATTATTATTATTAATTACTTTTTTTTCGTTTCTGATTAGCTGAAATCCGGCCCCCGCAAATCCTTCAAAACCTGCTGTCGTTGACCAAATTTGAGAGACGTTTTGGAACATCCAACAAAACAAAATCAATAGAACAAGTTATCGCCAGAAGAAGGGACAGTAACCGAGACGCCCGAGGCACAAGGATGCGTTAGCTCAGTTGTTTTTGTAAAGCTGGAGAAAATGAGGATTTCTTCTTAACGAGGAACAAAGAGCTCACCTCTTGCATTAAAATATAGCAACAACTTGAGAAAAGAAATTAAGGAATTTATCTTGAAACAGCGTCTTTTCGGCATAATGTGTACATTATTAGTTTGTGTCCTTGCATATGGTCATTAGGTGACCAATAAAACACATTTGCCTTAAAGGAAAGCAATTAATATCAATATACGAGGTAAAATACGGTATGAGAAAACATCACTCTGAACTGACTTGCAATCGAATAAGAGCACCCTTCTATCAAAGTTTTGCTTTTGTATGCATCGAATCAAGATAACAACTATTTTGTCTAAATAGTTTTCGTAGCCATAAAGTACAGGTCTGCAACTCTTTGTAGTGTGAGAGCAGTAAAATAAGATTAATCTTTAATCCAATCAGCGGGTCTACTAAAACAACCTCGTTGCCAGGGTTCTCTGTCTTGCTCTGTGAAAGACCCTGGTTGCAGTTGGTCACGTGGTTCCCAAAAGCTGGGAACCTCATCAGAACAAATTTATAGGCAAGGTTTTCCACATCATACAGCCGTTTTCGACGCTTTTGAATCTTTGAATGAGAGCGGCAAACTTAAGCCTCAAGGCTGTCATTTTTATGGGTTTCGAAAACATTATGTGATGGAGATGTATACAGATGAATTTTCGTACCTCCAGAGAATACCAGACTTTTGGGCTAATCAAGACTGATTTCAGATCGCCGGTTAGAAAGCAAACGCCAGAAGGCAAACCAGTCAGTGCAACGTCCGGCGTTTGCCTGCGCGAAAGGTAGGTTGAAGTGGAATACTGGTGAACAGTGATTTCACGTCAAAAGACACTAGGTTGTGGTCGTCAGGTATCTGTACTGTCTATGCCACTGGGTAGCCAACAGTTATTGGCGTCGTACAAGCGACTCATTAGAGACCTTTAGAACCAGGTTTTTCATGGGAAACCGCAAACTGCAGTTTGCCGTTACGCGTTTGGAGTTTCACGTTGCCGGGATTTCAAATTTTAGCGAGGCATTCAGTTCAGTTCATTTTTAGTTAGCCAAAATATAGTACAATGCAAGAATAAATATAGGAATTGTAACTTTGCAAGGGATCCCGGAAGAAACCAAAAGGCCTATGAAGCCTGGACCCGGTCACAAAGAAATAAGTAAAATAAAATGAAATTCCCAAAGTGATACGTTAAAAATTGGAACTAAAGTTAACTCAGGATTGGAACAGAAAACCCTTCTTATGTTAATACGGCAAAAAGGAATATAAAATCGTTGTTTTTTGCAGCCATGTTGCTTTTCATCAAATCGAAGTGCATCAGTTTTATTGCCCAAAAAACAGTGATAATTCATTGATTCGAGATCAAAAATCCAACAAGCACATCGCAGACGGATATAAAAAGCTATTTCGTGCCTTTAAACGCGAAGCTGTACAATTTTTAGTGATAAAAAGCCTTGCCGCAATTTACTTACCACTCGAAGCCACTCCTGCCGTTCAAACATGAACTTGAACTACAAACGCGACAGTAGTGGATAAGGCACCGAATTAACTATTTTTGTGGATTTAATTAACTTTTTGAGTGGTATAAATTAACGCGGATGACGTCATGCGTCTCATTAAGATAGGATGATGTCATAGTTTAAATTAATGCCGATGATGTCATGCATTCCATTAAGATAGGATGATGTCATAGTTTATTTGTAGCTGGCAAGAAGCAAGTGACGACAGAGTTTCCTAGAGTTGACGTCACCAAAAAATGTTGAGATCATAATCTATAAACAGAAAAGTGATTTTTATATAATTAGCTATTTGCTTTTGTCTTCTGATTAGATATTGTTTGCTATAGTCTTCTGATTGGATATTGTAAAAAATGTTATGTGTTCAAAATAAAAGCTGGCAAATTTTGAACGTGTTATCTTTACAGATTATACTAAATGAAAAGTCTTTAATCATTAAATTATTTTCACTAAAAATTGATTATAAATAAAACCAAGACACAGAGGTCAACTGAAAACTCTTTATTTCACAAGAACGAAAAAGGAGGTTAGGTGAATGCGAAATCGTACCAATTTTTTCAGGCAAAACATGAAAACGAGACCGAGGCGCAGCAAAGCGAGAAACTGCATATCAAACAAAAATGTCAATATTTGTTCACTTGACTCTGCAGAAAGTATTGCACAGGGTACAAAAATTCTATGGAAAACAACAGGTGGTTCTAAAGAAAACCTTAACTCTTTTGGTTCTTAATTAAACTCCATTCTTGTTCCTAATGAGTGGAATGTCTATTTAAAAAATAGGAATAAGAGGTGCGATGTCCTAGCAACACACGTCTTCTTGTTTAGCGCTAAAAATCGGATATATAAACAAAACACAAACACACATACACAGAATGGAGCCGAAAACACTCTATTCCAATTTTGACTCACCATTACAAAAGCGTTTTCTCCCTTCTATCTCGAGGAAACGACTAACTATTGAAATCTCAGCGCTTGATGAGCTAATGGTCTTGTCAATTCACGCGCTGTTAGTCAATTAATTATGCGGGTTAACAAGCCCACAGTTGCATACAAATGGCTCCACAGTAAAAACCCCAACGGAGAAACTTGACTTTTTATTATAAAAACACAAACAATCAATAACTTAACAAGGATTAATTAAAACACGCGACTGTTTTGCAACTGAAAGTATCCCTTAGCTTTTTCATCGATCCGAAGATCGTTTCGAGAAAGCAAGTCATCCATGTTTACCTGTATTTCTTGCATAGCTGGAAGAAGTGGGACAGGCGAAAGATTTTCCCGCTTTAGATGTTTTAAAAACTCTTGAGGAATATTTTCTTGAAACCCTGCTTGGTTAAATCCTTCTTCACTGGGCAGCACGTTTGTTCGCAGTCGACAATTATCTTGGGTAGTAGTTTTCAGATCAATGAGCAGATAACCAAAAGATCTTTTTACAACCTCTTCGTACTGATTTAAAAATAAATCAGTTTGCCCGGGATACATCTGCTTGGCAAGAGTCAGGATTTGCAATTTGTCTCGTGGATTCTTGAATAACACCAAATAATGGCTGTTTAGGCTTATCCTGCGACGACCTTTCCCCTGGTGAAATATATTCTGCACGATATAAATCACTCTTAGATTGCGATGATGAGAACCACGAGTAAAGAGGTTCACAATTCGATTGTTTCTACTAGTGTCAATCATTTGATCATTAAACACGATCAAATTCTGTTTATTCACATCAAAATAGGAATCTTGCTCCAAAGCCGTAGATTCCCTTGACGAGTTCAATGTGTGGCATGGCGACTAGCATTTCTGTATACGCAGGCTGCCATTGTGAATAACACGAAACAATCCTCTCCGGTGGAGGGTAAATTGTCTCTGAAGCTTGTTGTAATAGAGATCGAACTCAGCCCGTTTTTCCGGACCCGGTTATTTCGGCAATCATGGAGGTAAAGGGATGCTTGAATCGAAACTGCTGACATTTCTGTGAAAACGGAACTGTTTGAAATGGGGTGAGACCAACATCGCGGTGTTTAGACATCACGTGCCTTTGCATGCTATCCTTTATACTAAATGATTTTTCGCAAACGGAACAGAGCCAACTCATGTCAACTCCTCAGGAGCAGAATGTATAGACTGAGAAAATTGTAGCATGTTGCGCATTGATATAGTTTTGAAGGCTATAAAATTCTATAGTTTTCCTCCACCACCACCACTATTACCACCACCACATTTCTATTGTTTTCCTCCACCACCGCCACCGCCACTACAATTCTATTGTTTTCCTCCACCCCCACCACCACCACTACCACCGCCACCACATTTCCATTGTTTTCCCTCCACCACCACCACCACCACCACATTTTCATTGTTTTCTTCCACCACCACCACCACCGCCACCACATTTCCATTATTTTTCTCCACCACCACCACTACCACCAACACATTTACTTTTTTTTTTATCCACGACAGTCAATAAAAGACTGCAAACTACTATCATAATTTCAGTTTGTCGCAATGTCTCAAGCTGTCAAGAACAATCGTGGTTTTCTTCAACTCTTAGCTGTTTGTCCAGCTCATATACTTAAGAAATACATTCTTATCACCGAAGAAAATAAGCGGATCGTGTGGCAATATAAGGATGCTCTAGTAAACCTAGCAGAAACAAATGTCCCTTACAAAACAAAGAAGCGAACCCTTGTACAAGAGGGTAAATGTTTTATTCAAGACCTATTGGTACCTGCTGTTACAAGCCTAGGATTTTTGATGCTATAAAGAGGAAACAAAACTGTAAGTTACTCATTTGAAGCTAAGTCTGTCGCGGGTACTCATCAAAATGAAGAGAAAGATAGATTTGGTTGAAGAAGAGCACGATAGTGAACAGAAAGAAAGCGAAAGTTCTAGTGATGAAAGCGAGGATGAAGAACCAAGAATAAAAGATGTTTTGAATCATCTTTCCCAAGCAGTGTCGAAAAGGCGTGCTTCTGATTTGCTGCATAGTATGGCCGCTTCCAAAGATATTGTTTTCTAGACTCCTAGCGGACAATTACTTCGAAATAAACGCACAATTCCCGTCACAATTAAACATCGCCGAGCTAGTGGAGTATGTGTTACTCCCTCATAACAAGGAGGTTACCAAGCCTCGTGCGCTGAATACGTTTCTAGATGGACTTGCAGAGTTAGGAATCCATAAAGGTTTAATCAAGAACAAAAAGTTGTTAAGTGATTTAATAGAAAAGGAAAAAGGCTACCAAAATGTAGAAAATACTCCCGATAACGAGAGTAATAATGAGGAGAGTTCTTCGGATATTGAAAATCATAAGGAGGAGGCGGTGGAAGTGGCTTCTTAAAATAGCGTTGAAGCTGAAGGCACCTAAGAGAGCGACAACGACACCGAAAACGATAGTGTATTTGTGTGACAAGACGATACGCTCATCAAGCGCTGAGACTTCAATAATTAGTCGTTTCCTTAAGATGGAACGGAGAAAACGCTTTTGTAATGGTGAGTCAAAATTGAAATAGAGAGTTTTCAGCTCCACTTTGTGTGTGTATGTGTTTTGTTTACGCAAAATAAGAAGACATGTGTTGCTAGGCGAACGCACCTCTTATTCCTATCTTTTTTTTTTAATAAACGTTCCACTTATTAGTTGCTAGAATGGAGTTTATTCAAGAACCAAAGGAGTTAAGGTCTACTTTAGAACCACCTGTTGTTTTCTATAGAATTTGCCATACTTTCTAAAGAGTCAAGTAAACAAAGAGTGACATTTTTGCTTGATAGGCAGTTTTTCGCTTCGCTGAGCTTCGACCTCGGCGATTGCACCTCTTATTCCAATTTTTTTTTCATTAGTTACTAGAATTGAGTTTCTTTAAGAACCAAAAGAGTTAGGGTTTACTTTAGTACCACATGTTGTTTTCTATAGAATTTTTATACCCTGTGCAATACTTTTTACAGAGTCAAGTAAACAAAGATTGACATTTTTGCTTGATAGGCAGATTTTCGCTTCGCTGCGCCTCGACCTCATTTTCATGTTTTGCCCGAAAAAAATTAGTACGATTCCGCATTCGCCTAACCTCCTTTTTCCTTCTTTTGAAGTAAAGGTTTTTCAGTTAACCTCTGTGTCTTGGTTTTGTTTATAACTGATTTTTAGTGAAGATAATTTAATGATTAAAGATTTTTCAGTTACTATAATCTGCAAAGATAGCACTTTCAAAATTTGCCAATCAGAAGACTCTTATAAATAGCAAATAGCTGATTATATCAAAAAATCACTTTTCTATTTATAGATTATGATGTCAACGTTTTTTGATGACGTCACCCTAGGGTATTCTGACGTCACTTCTTCCTTGCCAGCTAAAAATAAAATATGACATCATCCTATCTCAATGGAATGCGTGACGTCATGGGCATTAATTTAAACTATGACATCATCCTATCTTAATGAGATGCATGACGTCATCTGCATTAATGTCTATCACTCAAAATGTTAATTAGTTAATTAGTTAATTACTAATTTAGTCTACTATATTTTATTATACTATACTATACTATAGTATGCTATACTATACTATACTATACTATACTATAGTTTACTATGTTATACTATATACCGCAAGACGGTGGTCACGTGACATTTTGTGGTTTTCAGTTTGCGGTTTTCCATGAAAACCTGACGCTAGAGGTCTCTATCGACGAAATCAAGCAGCGAGAGAACGACTGGAGAATTAATAATTTGACTAACAATAAACAACTGTTTAGTTCTTACAATAGACGGATCGAAACGCACTAATTACATCACGAGTCTTCATAGCTAATTAAATCACGGCTTAACTGACAGACGACCAATAACATCGCGACGTAACTGACTAATCACGTCAATAACCAGAGTATAATGTCATCAACGAGGTGATACAACTCACTTTGACTCAGACGATGACTATCGCACGGGTTGCGGAAACGTCAGTCACTTTCAACAACAACAGTCCTTTTGAAGACTACGTTCACCAAGACGATCAAACTCAACCTACTTTTGAAATGACTCCTGGGTTCAACCTTTCACAGAAGTGTCTGATAACTTCGCAAAAAAGAAAGCAATGTGCAATGCAACCAGGCAGCTGATGGACAGATAGCAGTATTTCCCAAAAATGTTTCCTCAGTTTGCAAAATAATTTCCCTTGTACATTCAATGGATCGTCATAATAGAAGACAATAACAACTAACCAACGGCTAAATTATCTATTTTCAGAATGTAAATTTTTTCTCAGACTCTTTGTTATATGATTCATGAAAAGCGACTTTTACCATTTGTTGGTGTAGTACTGCTAAAGTGCGTGTAGTCGGCCGTTCAGCAAAAACCTGAATATGCGCAGATCAGTCACGTTTCTTGTGGGTAATCATATGTAGCTGTGTGCATACTTATGATATTTATGATACTCGATATATTTAGTACTCGTGTAGTGTTGAAGTCTTTCTTGGTCATTAGCAACGAAAAAAAAATACAAAAATTCAAACTTACAGCAGCTTTAACTTAGGGAGATTCCAAAACGCCCGAGGCGAAAGCTGTGCAATTTCGTTGTTTTCAAGATACCTGCAAAAATAATTTATTGAAGACATTCATTTTAACACTGACTAGTACATCAACAACCAATCAAAGCATGTCTCTTGTCAGCCAGTTTAATCGTAACTAGTGACGAGTTTCAACTTTTCTTTTGCAGACTGGCCTGAATATTTTCCTCATACAAGGAATAGTTTTTTGGAAAATTTTAAGATACACGCATCCAACGTTGTTTGTCGTAGTGGGGGGAATGGATGGGCATGTGTGCGCATGCGCTATTCCAAAAGCCGTAACGTAAATCGCCTGAGAAGCAATGAACAATATACATTATTATTCTCTGTTTTTTCCCTTTCTGATTAGCCCTAATCCCCCGGCAAATCCTTCAAAACCATCTAGCATTTTACCAAATTTGGGAGACTTTTTTAATATCCAATGAAATAACATCAATAGAACAGGCTATCGCCAGAAAAAGGGACGGCAACGGAGACGACTGTGGGAGTAGGGTGCGTAAGCTCAGTTTTTTTTGTACAGCTGGAGAAAACTATCGCAGAAACTTTCACATCTTTTGAGAAAAAAATAGCCCAACTTCTGCATAATAGCATAGCAACAAAATGAGGGAAAAAAATTAAAGAAGGAACTTTAGTGGAAACAGCGGCTATTCGGCATAATGTAAGTGAATGGTTTGTGTCCTTGCACATGGTTATTAGGCGATCAATAAAACAAATTGGCACATTGTTTTAATGACAAGCAATAAGGTAAAATACGGTATGCGAAGAATAATTCTGAACTGACTTGTAATCAACAGAGGACCCTTTCACTAAATTTTTCCTTTTGCATGCATCGAATCAAGAGAATAACTAATTCGGCTAAATGGCTTTCGTAACCATAGAGGTACAGGTCTGCAACTCGGCTTTTAGTTTTAGAGCAGTAAAATAAGATTAATCTTTTATCCAATCGTCAGGTCTCAGAAAAACAACCGCGCTCCCAGGGTTCCCTCCCTTACTTTGAGAAAGAACCTTGGTTGCCGCTGGTCACGTGGCTCCTAAAAGATGGGAGCCTTATCAGAACAAATTTATAGGCAAATTAAAAGTTTTTCACATCATACAGACGCTTTCGACGCTTTCGAGCCAGAGTACCAAACGTAAGCCAGGAAGCCGTGAGGTTAATGGATTTTGAAATCATATTTTGTGATGAAGAGGCATACACATCAATTTTCGCATCTCTAGGGAATACCAGACTTTCAGGCTTATAAAGAATTTCAGACTGCCGGTTGGAACGCAAACTACAGAAAGCAAACCAGTCAGTGCAACGTCCGGCGTTTGCTTGCACGAAGAGTTTTAGTCTTTATCATAAACAGTAGTCTCTGTTAACTTTGCAAAGAAGAAAGCAATGTGAGTCAGGCAGCTGAAAGAGAGGTAGAAGTAATTCTCAATAATGTTTTCCCAGTTTGCGATTGTTGTCCTTTGGACACTCAATGTATTATGATAAGAGAAAACAACAACAACTAATCAACAGCTTAATTCTGTATTTTTAGAATATGACTTTTTCTCAGGCTATTAGTCATATTATTCATAAAAACACCACTGTTACCGTCTGTTCGTGTAGTACTGCAACATTGTGTTGATGTCAGCCGTTCAGTAAAAACCTATACATGTACAGAGTTACATTACGCGTGTGTAATCATATGTAACTGTGTCCATACCAAGACATATGACATTTATGATACTCGTTATACTTAGTACCTGTGTAATATTTTAGTCTTAGTCATTAGCAAGGAAAGAGATACAAAAATTCAAACTTACAGCCACTCTAACTTAGGGAGATTCCAAAATGACCCAGTCGAAATATGTGCAATTTCGTTATTTTCAAGATTCCTGCAAAAAGAATTTATTTATGACATTCATTTTAACTGACCAGTACATCAAGAACCAATCAAAGCACGTCCCTTGTCAACTAATTTTAATCGTAACTACTGACGAGTTTCAGCTTTTCTTTTGCAGACTCTCCTGAATAAAACAGCTGGAATATAGCGATTGAAGCCTGCAAAGACCTTATTTCGTAGTAAGTCATCTTCTTGTCGGCTTAGTTTTTGTTAAAATGTAACCGGGAAGCCGTGGGGACGAGGATGCGTTTACTCAATTGTTTTTTCTAGAGCTGAAGAAAATGGCGAAATTTTGGCTCGTCTTACGAGGAACAAATAGTCCAACCCAACTTCTGCCTAAGAACATAGTAAAAATAGCAAAAATATAATTCAACGAATGACTACTGCTATTTGAACAACATCTACTTGACTAAATACCCCTTTCATATCTAAAATTTGACGAGGAACAAACACCTGACTACAGGAACTTGACGTAGAACGACGTAAGTATGTTTTAATTAAAAATAATTTTGAATGAACGAAAAAACAATAATTGGATTTAGCTTTCGTTTAATCTTGGGACTGGACGGATAACACCCTTCTCGATCTGCATAACTCTTCAGATAATATTCAACCTCAACCGAAGGCCTTGGCGGATAACACTCTCCTCGATGTGTGAAGTCTCAACCAGTTATTGCTTGTTTTTGCGTGCACGGCAAGAATTTAGGTATGGCAAAGACCCTCATCCTAAACAGACCGGGCCTTTTTTGCTTCCTGGGACTTAGGGTGGGGGTGCTCGGAGACCCCTCTCTATGACTTAAAAACTGCTCATCCTACGGCCACTAAAATTACACACAATAATGTACTCATCATTTTCAACTTCTGGGCATTACTTGATTGACACAGTGACATAATATGACGTCATTATGACGTTATATGGTTGAATTTATTGATCATCCAAATTTCCCTTAACGTAGACACAAAGCAAAAAATACTTAATTAGAGTGGCCAATATTACCGTCCAACGACTCAATGAAGAATTGTTCAAGACATGATAACGAGTCCTGATCTAAATCAAATAGTGAACATGTTTAAATTACTAAGTGGAAAGTTGCATGCCAAATGCGAGAGAAAAATATTTTTTTAACAGAATGGACAGAACCGGAATGAAAAACACAATTCTGAATCCCTGCAGTATAGAGAAGAAAAAATGTGATTAAATTCGATGGATAACCATGCAGCTCAGAATCGATATTCAAGGAAAGAAAACAAATTAAACCGACACCGATATCAGTTAATTACTGAGTCCTATTTAAATGGAACTCGGCCCGATATAATTGGGTGATGCATCTGTTGTCTAATGTAAACAGTCATCGGTAAGTCCCACGGTTTTGTCGATTAAAGAACGATTTGATATGGAGTTTACTTAATATCCAACCGAACTGTTAAGTTGAGATTTGGCAACATCGTGTATCTCAGGCTTTTCACAACGGTTAACCATAATGTGTAGTAAAATAAAGATGTCAAGAGTCTTACTTTCATATTTGACAACGGTAAACTGTTCACCCTTGGCCTTACCCCTCCTGAGCAGACCGCAATAGAAAGCAACAGTAGTACAATTTGGGAACAATGCTGTTTTTAAAGACGTTACGTGCCTGCATTCATTTGGAAATATGAATACGTGCAGCGACTTTTTGAAATCCACTGACCTCAAAGAAACTAATGGTAAACTATGAGGGTAAACCGTGGACTGTGAACATTACTAGTCAGCTCATGCAATTAATTCGACCGAGTTCCATTTCAATAGAAATACGGTGAGTTCGCAGATACCTGCCTAACACTTGCCATCAGAAATTGTTCTTATCAATTCAAGCAAAAAATACTTTTGTAAATAGGCTGTTCTGGCAAAGACATTTCTTGTTCTAAATCTTTGCAGGTCCTATCACAAATTAAAATGGTTCCAATGCGACAAAACAGCTCACCAAAAATCTGCTCTCACAAACACTCTCTCCGCTTCAAGTGAAAATTATTTTTCAACCAACTATTCTCCTCCGATACTTTATCTTCTCCTCCCAAATTTAGAAAAAAATTCAGTTATCTAACTTCTACAAATTTGTATATCATCGTAACAACAGACGTTACAAATGCAGGGCGCGGGACCGCCACTGATCTCTTGCGCATGCTCCAAAAAATTTTCCACCGCTTCAAAAAATCTCAGACAAAAGCCTTGAAACACTTTGGAAAATTTTGCTCAATTCCGTTTCCCTTCTCCCTTTTGCAATGTTTATGTAGCCACGTGACTTTGCAATCACATCTCAACATTGCAGAGGGAAAGGGACGTGAAAAGGTTCACTTATTATTGAGGTGCAATATTGTAATGTATTTCGATACTTATACTTAAATACTTACACGCAGACTATAAAAGTAACAATTGCACAAAGTTAATTTTTAAGCCTTCATCGTGTCACGAACTCATAATTAAATGACTCAAAGCAAGCTTTCATATTGTGGACCGGATTCTTCTCTCAATAAAGCTCGAGGGCGAGCGAAAAATTAAATCTCCCAGCAAATCAAAAAGAAATTGAAAAAAGAGGAGAAAATTAGGAATAGATTTTAGCTTTGACTGACAACGCGTAACTGTGACAGTGTGCCGATAAAGGATCAAGTTCATTACCTACAAGCTCTCTGCGAAAATCTCCGCGTAGATTTTAGCCGTGATTCAATTAATGCAGCTACGGGACATTCCATTAGCTTTTGTCTTTTTAAAAGAAATTTTTTAAAATCACATTTTAATTTTCATATAGAAATTTCTCACAACCAGCCGAAGCCGTGGGCCGAGAACCGGATGCACACGGTAAACTGAGATTTGTCTAAAATAAGCCCTTGAAAATTACATAATAGCGGAGCTCTGGCGCGCGAAGCGCGCCTGCGCAGCACCATGGGTAAGTAAATCTACCCATCCCAGAAAATTTGGTAATCACGTGACCGTACACCGCCCGCCCGCTGCCCGTCCGTCCGCACCACAGGGCAACCAATGTTCAATCCCAGACTTTCTAGCTAGTTTGGGAGAACAGAAAGACGGATATTGCACACATACTGCACATCAATGTTGTGATCAATTGACAGCTGTCAAAACAGGGTCCTGATGACCAGTATCACCTGACCGTATCGCGGGCTCAGGTGTCGACCCATCGAGGTCGAGTATTTTTTGAAGTTATCCGCTGACAAGTTATGTGCCGCACAATTAAAATTTTGATTCCAAACTGACCTCGGAAGCTAAGATCCTGCCAGTTTTTACAGGCAGGAAAGACATGCCAGTTGCTTTTGACTTTTCTCATCAAGGTCACGCGTTGCTCACGCTCTACGTCCAATTTTTATGCTCTGATTGGTGAAAATTTGACAGGCGAGTTCATGCGGAAAATTTATGCAGCATCTTGAAACTTGTTTACTTTGACAGCTGAAGCTGACAGAGTTTTGTGTCAACTTGGCATGTCTTTAACTGCCTTTTTCCACTGAATGTACAAGGCGAAATTCAGCTGCTATCAAGAGTCTTCTGTTATTCATGGCTAGTTTGTTTATCGGATTTTTGGTTGAGAAATACGTCGCTTGTCAAAGTCTGAAATCCGATTTCGGATGGCATCGTTTTCGTTTTCCACCTTGCTTGATGCGTAAGAGGGTTGAAAAGTCTGAAGCGATTTTGGCCTTACTTGATAGTTTTCAGTGCATCTCGAATGGTAAGCCTGAGTAATTATTTTATTTGATGTTTGTTTTTTTATATCTAATTCAATGAAGTCGAGTGTAGTTTATGGGGCTATTTAGTTTATGCACGTTTGTAAGATTTGAGACAATGATCTGACCGAGTATCAGGTTTGATTATAAGCTTATAGAACTTTAAAAAGCCTTCAGACATTTTCTCACCGCAAATAGAAAGAAAACGTTCCAAAGAATATTTAGTTATAATTTTGGCTGTAAAAGAAAGCTTTGAGCGATTTTCTTCCCTCGAGTTCATCTTTGAAAAACGCAAACACCGGGAATCCGGCTTAAAACATAAACAAGGATTTTCAGAGACACTTTAATACTTGTCTTCGTGAATGAAAATTGTTGTCTCTGTATATGTTTCACCGAATTATTTTATTTTTGTTGATTGTTGGTAGTCTCTTTTGCAATTTTGATCGCTGTTGTGCCGTTTGTTTTCAGTCGCTCATGAACATAGCTTGCAGGAGTAGTCAAAATGCCGCGCGTACCAAACGCTTTTGAAGATTACACATCGTTATAAAGCCATTATGTTGAAGCGCATAACTGTGTTAATCTTAATTTAAACAGTCGACTTTGGCGCTTGTCAAAAGTGAGAACCGGCTCGCCGTATAGGTAATTTTGGAAATTTTTTTAACGGTTTCGCTAACGCGTGCTTCGATCGCCCTGAATATTGAATGAGGGCAATTTGTATTACAAAATTGTGAAATACTGCGTTCTGTCCGAGGTCTGTATGATAAAAACAGCGCCTCATGGTACTATTTCACCTCAGATATGTGATGTATAAAAAGTATGAAAGGTTGGTTTACACGTCCCCAGACTTGTTGGCAAGATTTTGTAAAGTAAACTTATCGAACGCAAAAAATTCAGCCTGATTTGTTTTCCTAATTTACTGTGAGCAAGGACCATTATGGCTATGCTATTTTTTAGGTGTACCTATAAGGCTATCAAGTCGATGTAAGATTAGTTTCACTCTTAGCTTGCACTGTTTGCAAATTATTTTTCTCTAAAATTACTTAGCCATTCCGTCAAAAGTCACATGAATGTGCTCTAAAGTTAACTGATTTGTGGAATACGAGTTTACAATTGTTTTATTTAAATTATAAATTCGAGTTAGTAGGAGCTTCGCTTTTAGCCCTGGCTAAATCTATATATTAAACAAACTATCCAAGTTAAGATCTCACCTCGTATATATTGCACCAAAAAACAACGCTCAGATCTGAATAAACTCCCACATATGGTTATCTTTCTCTCATAGA